ATCCAACAAACAAAGTGTCGTTTGGTCAGAACGTGCGGGATGACAAGTGAGTTACTAGCTTTGACCAACTCCTGAAGTGGTGAGGGTACATCAACCATTTCAACATGAGTAGAAGCAACTACAACTTCTACTGGCCGGATGTGTTTCCCTGATCGGTGCTCGTAGAAGCACCACTCTAGGCAAAAGATCCCCCAAAACCATCTTTGGGAGGAATCTTTTGAGAGACTTTTGCGTTTTTGCATTTGAACTGTTGATGGCCATATTTGCCGCAGTTAATGCAAGGTCCTCGCAAATACTGGTCTCATTCTGGTCCAGGCCCGCCCTCATCGGAGTCTTGTTCGAGTTTTGGGCCTGCCCCTGACTCTTTTGCTGACCACCCTTGCCGCGGCCACCTGCCTTTTCTTTGGTTATGGTGGCAAGGTTGCTACCCTCTGCACTCTCCTCACCATCCATCTCTGTTTCCTCCGCAATATCAGAGAGATCATCGATCTCGGTTTGATTCCCATCGGAATCAACCATCATCAACCGATTACCCTTCTTTTTCCATTCTTGCGGGGGCTTCTTCTTCCTATTGTCCGTGGCAGGTTGCTGTGCTCCTCCTAGCGTGGGCTCTAAATCTAGGGCATTCTTGCTAAAGGAGTCAAGAGTGTGATAATCGATGCTTGCCTCGCTAACCATCAGGTTCTTGATGTTTGTGGGAAGACATCTCAGATACATGGTTAGCAAGACTTGTGGATCATAGCGGACTCTCGGGACGACTATGAGTTTCTCCACGATGGCGGTGAGGTCACACGTGAACTTGTACCTTCTGGTATCAAGCTGGGCCAACGCATCAATATGGCCTGCTGGGCCTGGTGTGGGTTGTGCCATCGCGTTTACCCAACGCCACGAAGCTCTGTAGTGTGTTGGTCTTTGCCCAATCACTCATCCTCCAGCCGAACCCTTCGGATGCCACTATTCCATCTAGCCATCTCTTTGCCGATCCCTCAAGATATGAGGCGGCAGTGATCACCTCTTCTTCTAGCAACGTCCTCTTCGCCCTAACCCATACTGGAACTGTCCTCAACCATGTGTCTAAGTGCTTCGTCCTTCTGATCTCCTGAGAAAGACGGGGGTGGTTTCAGTGGAGTCTTGGGGTACCAAGCCTGCTCTCATCCCAATTATGGAACTGGCTGCTGCCCCGTAGCGGCAGCAGCTAGACCTGAAGATGAAGAGGCAGCAGTCTGTGCTGCTGCTGCTGACGTACCACTTCGTGCGGTACCAAATTGAGGGGGAAATGGGCCTACCATTGCCGGTGTTACTACTGGTGATGGAAACCCTGCCTGCGGCCGGACATCGGGCCCACCAGCTAAGGAGGGATGTGTCCTCCTCTTGTCTGCATGACATTCAGTATCTGGTCAAGGGTGTCCTGGATTGCGTCCATGTACACGTACATGCGCAGCATACCCGCCTTGAGGATTTTACTAGTGTCATCAAGGGTCGAGTCAACTAACCCTTCTATTGCAGCCTTGTCTTCCCTTCCGCTCTCCAATCTGGCTTTCCTATTTCTAATCTCAGTTCCTCTTTCGGTAGCTTACCTAAGTTCCTTCTCTAGCCGTAAGCGGATTAACTCTACTTGCTGGAGTTCTATGGCTTCTCTAGTGCGTGGAGGTGGCGAGGTGTACTGCGAGCCCGCCATCTTACTTGTGGAAGGTCCTGGACTCATCCCGCTGGATGAGGCGGAGGAACTAAGGTTCCTGACGACTGCTGACCTTGAGAGGTTGCTGCAGATGTATCCATCGCTACTTCGCTAGCTGCTGCTGCTGCTAACACTTGTTTCGCAGGTGCTGCTGCCTCCCTAGCAGTCTGTAAATGTCGGGCCCTTGCTCCGGCCCAGAACCTTCTCTCGTCCCCTGGCAGGAGAACCTGAAACACTACCGGAATCCTTTGTGTATCCCGCCGTGTTTGCCTCCTATCGTCAGCTGTCCCTTCACCACTATCTGCACCACTCATCAGTTAAGCAGATCATTGTCTGCACTATTGCCCTCACTGGAGCCTGCCACAGCATATGTCTGACCGAGTTGAAAAATAATAAAAAAATAAAAATAAATACTCGGCAAGTCACTCAGGCTACCGATCAAGCGGTGTCAACAGTTTATACACAGACTGAGCAATTGATTTACTCCTACTTCGATTAGTCCTCCTTCAGCAGCATCACATAGAACTGGCAATGGTAGACTACTACAGTTCTTAATTAATGTTGTCTGTTAGGTGTTAGCAGTCTGTCACACCTTATAACTAATTAGAATAAAAATAGATCAAGTGCACAGATGTATGCGGTAATGGAAAGAAAATGTGTTTGTGCTCGAGCACCAATTGGAACCTTCCCTTCCCCTGTCTTCAACGATCCTGACTTGCATCATCAAGCAGCAGTGTCTGTCGTGTGCACAACGGCTCACCCCTGTGCCCAGGAACCTACTTATGAGCAGTACTGGCCGTTATTTATCCTCACGTGCAACGAGCCTTAAATCCGACTGATCTGGCTGATCAAGAGGCAGTTTAAGGACAGCCCCCAAGGTTCTCAGGAATTATTTAACGTCGCAGACAGGACGATGATCACATCCAGTATTCAGATCAGATCCTGCCAGAAATAATTTACAGACGGTCTGGTAGACGTCTTGGATAGGACTGGTCAGTCCACGTTCTCTCCATAGCGCAGCAAGAGCTTAAAGGATAAAGCGGCAAAGCATGCGTGCTCTTCTCCCATGGGTTGGCATGGTTACTGTGACCCGTGCTTCGACCAGTGCCATTCAGAGGCACAACCCTCTCCTTCCAGACGCGCCACCAGGAAGAATGTCGACTGCCAAGGTAGAGCGCTCACGACTCCTGAACCAGAAGAGGACACTCAAGTTGAACTCACTTCGTCACGGTAAGAAGAGATTGAGATGGGAAGATAAGGTAAGGGAACAACGTACCTGAAGACAGCTGCCCCCAACCACAGATTTCTCACCAATTTGGCCGATGTGCATTTTGATGACGGGTCATAGATCGGTACGACCCACAATGCAATGCAGTGCCACCTCAGCCAAAATGAATGTCAGCATACTCTCATCATCCCACATACACCTGCTGTCGCCACAACTCCCACGCTGTCGTCACAGTCTTCCTGCCAGCCTCCCATCTACACGGGAGTGGTAAATCATGCCAGCACCAAAGTATCCTCACTGCGTAGAAGCTTCGTCAGCACCAAGTAACAATGTCGCCAGTGCCGGTAACGGCGATCTCGGACCAGCCCCGCTATCAAATTGCAAGGAATATGAGCGAGAGCGATAGACAGAAATCCAAGTTGCAAAATCACGAAGAAGCTCAGATAGTCATGAACCAAGCGGAGAGTGCAATGCACCAAGATACCGTCCAAATAAGAGCAATACAATGAACTCAAATGTCAATGTTGCCACTCTCTGGTCACACCAACACTGTATCCAATGTCGCACTTACTGTCTGGCGCCCAGCGCCCAGCCTATCCTACTCAGCCTGTCTGGCCTATCTACATTCTTGCAACCGGATCACTCTGAAGTCGAAGACCAATGTACGTGACGTCAACACCAATGCCAACCACCAGCATACACCAGGTAAAATCTCTCCTTCCCTCATCATCCCTCGTCTTCCCACAGCATGCGTCTCCTACCCGAAGACCACCTTTGCCTTCACCTGCCTTGCGCCCTGCAGCCCGGCTATGGCTGCTGTGCGCCCGTTGCCCTTGCAGCGCCCCTCACCTCAGCGCCCGTGCGCGCGTCCGACCAGCAATGCCCATGCAGACACTTGCGCAGCAACGCAGCAGTATGACTGCCTTCCCTGCCTAGGTCAGAATGCCACTGCCAGGGGCTCACATTTTTATGGAAAGTGTGTCGCTGCTGTCTGTCCTGGCCAGGCGTGTGGGGGCCCAGTAGCTTCAGTTGGGCCCCAAGTGTCTGCGCCCAGGCCCAGTTCCCGTAACTGGTCTGACCCTCTCGCAGTTAAGCACGTTCAGGCAGCCACCCAGCCTCCATGTGTTTGCAGCATTCTCATTGGCTCGCGGCACACGTGTGACGACAATGCTACTTCCTCATTGACCCGTAACCAGTCCGTGATGTGTTGGCCTCACACAGAGTGTGCCCAGGGTGCGCAACCGGCTGAGCCCTGGGCTCAACTGTACAGCGCAGCCTTTTTGTTTTTGGAAAGAGCCTGGAGGCTCATATTGTGCTGTAACCAGCTGGCGTGCTACAACTGTCTGAGTACCCACATATGGAAAAAATGTTGAGAACAGGCCTCATGTGGATATTCAAGCCCGCCTTCACTTCGGGCAGGCACGAGGCTTGCTGGGGGCCACAGCCCAGAACACTTGTATGTCTGATAAGGGCTCTGCGAGGCTCATTCCTCGCACGAACCACTCTTGATTTGTTTTGTGCCCAGGCACAGTTTCCGTAACTGGTCTGGGCCTCTTGCAGTTAGGCACGTTCAGGCAGCTACCCAGCCTTCATGTGTTTGCAGCATTCTCATTGGCTCGCGGCACATGTGTGATGACAATGCTGCTTCCTCGTTGGCCCGTAACCCGTCCGTGATGTGTTGGCCTCACACAGCGTGTGCCCAGGGAGCGCAACCCGTTTGTTTTTGGAAAGAGCCTGGAGGCTCATGTTGTGCTGTAACTAACTGGCGTGCTACAACTGTCTGAGTACCCACATATGGAAAAAATGTTGAGAACAGGCCTCGCATGGATATTCAGGCCCGCCTTCACTTAGGGCGGGCACGAGGCTTGCTGGGGGCCACAGCCCAGAACACTTGTATGTCTGATAAGGGCTCTGCGAGGGTCATTCCTCACACGAACCACTCTTGATTTGTTTGTGCCAGTCATTGGTTTGAAAATTTCAAGTTAATCAGTTTGATCAGAGATCATGGAGCGGGTATAGATGATAGTGAGGATGTGGTGCAGATTTTCAGCAATATTATGGCTGTTGTTAATGATATGGTGATACTTTGTGCAGGTGAAAAAAGCGGGACGAATAAGAAGTGCCGCTGGTGTTATGGTGTATGGACTGAAGAAGGAGCCAAAGTTGAAGAGAGCAAAGCCATGGCATGCAGATCTGAAAGATATTGTTGTTCTCCCAAATCAGTATAGGGTAAGACACAAAAGAGTGGCACTTTGGCTGACTGATTGTGTGTAGGACGTAACAGCTCTTGGTGAACGTGTGATGGTAGGAAAGGGGCTGGAGGATTGTGCACGACAGGTTTCTTTGACGAGGTCTCATCCGAATGCCAAGTGTCCAAATTTCTCCAAAACCTCTCGATATGGTTTCACTGGCTTAAGAAGTGTCAAAGAGGTTAGAAGTCAGAAGGAAAGGGGCTGGAGGATTGTGCGTGACAAGTTTCTTTGATGAGGTCTCATCCGAATGCCAAGTGTCCAAAACCTCTCAATATGGTTTCATTGGCTTAAGAAGTATCAAAGAGGTTAGAAGTCAGAAGGTTTATGGGATGAATTGTGGAGTGGTTTGTGTGTGTGTGTGTGTGTGTGTGTGTGTGTGTGTGTGTGTGTGCGTGTGCGTGCGCGAGCGCGCGCGTTTCTGTTTGTGTACATATGCGTCCATGCGTGTGTGTGTGGTATGTGCTTGCACATGCAGTTGTGTTCATGCATTATGTGTGTTTAGGGTTTCCTTTCTGCACAAGGAACATGTCTGACTATGTGACTGAAACTGGTGAAATAGATTTGCTCCATTACACGAGAATTCTTATTCTTAAACCACCACTTCGGCTGATCTTATGCTGCTGAACAAGATTTTGCCCTGATCCTGGCCTTCCCAGCCTGATGGCAGGGGGCCTACCAGTTCGCAACGAGTAGGGGCAAGCATGTACAATCACTTCGTGCCTTTTTTCTTGTGTGCAATCTTTTCAATTTTTTTTTTTTTTTAACAAAGCAGATTGTCCGAAGCTAAGTCGGGCTCTTACGAGTGTATGTGGTAAGAGCATGCTGCTCTGGGCCTGGGTCGGCAGTCGCATGTGGAGGCCACTAAGAAACGGCACAGTTGGAGGCTCTGGAGCCTCGGAGGGTTATTTTGTAAAAATACGCTTGGGTGAACTGTTGTTTTAAAGAATGGTTTGCCAAATGAGATGTGAGGCCGAAAAAGCACGTTTCGGTGCTGAGGGCCTGTAAGCCCTCTTTCAGCTGCCTATGCGTTGCCATGGCCCGGGCCATTCGGAAGGCCAGGCCAGGCTGGCTGGGGGTTAGGGTGGCCAAGTATGGGTGGAACAACTGGTAGGCATTGTTGATCCTTCCCTATACCGCCCAGAGCAGTCCAGCATGGACCTTGGCCTCAGTCCATGTGATAGACTGGGCAGTTTGGGCTGGCTGTTGCTGTCCGCCCAATGGTGCTACTGCATAAAATGTTCCGGGAAAGGCAGTGCCTGGCAACAGTTCAGTGCCAGCCATAGCTGGTGGTAGTAAGTGAGAGTCAAAGAGAGAAAAGGTTGGTGCATGAGGAAGGAGGGAAATGTGAAGAGAGAGAAGGAAGGATAAGTACCTGATTGGTCTTCGTCGTGATAGCTCCAGTAACGCACAGATGTTGATTGGGCGGTGCTGGGAGCAGCATTGTGATGTAATGGCATTGGACATCAAGCAGGCATTGGTAGAGTAGGCTCCTGTGGGTCAGTGATAGGGCTAGTGATCACATTCAGTGGTGGGTGGAAGAAGGGAGCCAAATTGCACATCATTACACATACAAATGCTCCTATTTTGTTTGTGTGTGTACCAACTCCACATCTGGGCCCTCTGCTGTTTCATTGTGTGATGGCCTGGGTGCAATTCTTATGGTTCTCCAGTCTGATCAACAAGCAATCTTGGCTGCCAGAATTGCGGAACTCATTGATGAGGGGAAAAGAACCTTGAGCATGGGACTGTTAGCTTGGGGACATTAGGTGCTTGGGAGTTGCATCAGTCATTCAGAATTCCTTTGTGGCACGGGCCACACACGGCTAGCGTTTCTTTGAGACCGCTATTGGTGCAGACATGCCAGTCACAAGATGCAGAGGGGTCTCGTGGCACTAGGAGGACCATTAACTTGGGGACATCAGTCACTTGGATGTTGCAACTGTTTTTCAGAATTCTGCTGCGGGATGCGCGTGCGCCGCACACGGCTAGGTTCTCTTTCAGAGCACCACGGGTCCACACATGCCAGTCACAAAATTTCAGACAAGGATAGGTGTACTTCGAAAGTGACATGGGTGCAGATGTGCCAGTCACAAGCTGCAGACGGCCCTTGTGGCAGTATAACAACGTACGGTCATTATAGCCGTATTTGGGGCTTCTTTCAGTCTAAATACAGCTATAATGACTGTACGTCAGGGCTGAGCCGGCAACCGGCCGGTTCACCTCCCCCGGTCCACCCAGATCCGGACCAGTCCAAGGGGGCTAAACTGGAAAACCAGTTAAAAAAAAAAGCCCGAATTGTTCTCTTTTGTTTAATTATGTGTCAGTGGATTCCAACTGTGCTCTTCGAGATCTGTCCAAATCCGCAACAAAACTTGAAAGGTGCGATTTTTTTTTGGGGGGGGGGGTTCCCATGTGTGKGTTGTGGGGGGGCGGGGGGGGGGGGGGGGGTTATTCTGGTGTGGCTTCAGGGAGGTTGGCCTTTAGGTGGAGGTGTTATGATCCTGGCCAATTTCGAAATACACATTCATCGGAAAGTACAATGCCGTCCCATTGCAAAAAGAAATGAATTAACTTGAAAGGAGAGAGAGGGTAAGAAGAAGAAGAAGATGACGTACACCAGCATAGTCAAATGATAATGCTCTTCTTTTTCACCAACCACTCTCCTCCTCCTTATCTCCCCCTCTCTTATGTACAAGAAATAATAATAATGATGTTGAATGGCTGAACCAGAATCAATGTCCGGGTCCCTCTTCTACTGCAGGCCGAGGCTATGGCGGACTACTAGGTCCACCATAGCCATGGCCACCCTTCCTCCTCCTTCGTCCAAGGCCGAGGCTATGGCGGACTACTAGGGCCTTGGCCTGATGTCCAAAGGACAACCCAAAGCAGCTATGGCTGCTCTAGCTCAGGCCGCCATGCCTGACTCTGCCTCGAAGCTTCTTGGTGTAGCTCTTCCCCAACTGGGGTCTTCTTGCTGCAGCGCCCACCAAGGTGATGAAGATGGCAACCACCATAGGCAGGTAAGTACCTCTGGCGCTCCTCCCTCCTAGTCCTGGCCTTCTTCCTCCTCCTGTCCTTGCTCCTCCCCAGCAGCACGGCTCCTTGCTAGCACTGCTGCAGCCAGCGGTCCAACCAGTGTGTCGCCAAACTTGCACACCGACAATGAGGCTGAGCTCCTGGCTCAGCCCGAAGATATAGCGGCCTACTTGCCTCTTGGGTGGTGGCTTCCAGGCCGCTCGGCCTCCCAAGCAACCAGTACCTCCTCCCTTTCAGAGGGAAACATCATTGCAGACTCTGATATTGCCTGTACAGGCCCCAGACTCAGACTGGTTGGACTGGTACCTGCCTAGACCTAGCCTACAACTACTGGGCCTCTAAGAATGCCAACTTTTGTCTTCTTCTGCTCGGCCTCGAGTACCCGGCACATCTACCTCTAAATGGTGTGGTACCGGCCTACCTGCTACTTGAGTGTTTCCCGCTGCTTCAAGTGTCGCAGGCCTCTTTCCCTGCCACTTGAGTGTTTTCTCCCGTTGCAATCCTCAACGCTACGGCCAGAGGTAAGTACCAGCCCTTCGGGCACAATGAACGAACAAGTGCCCTTGCGGGTCACACACGCACTCAAGCCGACAGGCACTCAGACAGACATGCAGACCAGCAAGCGTGCATACACACAGACTTAGAGAACTCAGTAGCAAGTGGGAACGCACCAAGGCATTCAGTCCATGAGCAAAACTCAGAAATCAGCTGTGTGAATCAGTCCGTGTTTGGTCAGGTCATTAAAGAGGGGTCAAGTAAACTGCTTTATTTGTCCAACCCCCCATGGCCTTTAAATTTCAATTCGGCCCCATACTGCGTCATGGTCTGTGCCATCAGATGTTGGCACCGAAGAGGCAGAACGACATTATGCTGTTGGGAGGTGTTTGCCCAAAATTATAGCTCTTCCAGATACCGCGCTCTAAAGCAAAAAAGTTACGGGCTCAGGTTTCAGCTCGTGCAGGCAGAGAGCTTTCCAATTGTTTTTTTTTCTATATGCAAGATGCGTGCCATAACTAACAATATAACCAAGCATCTCGTAGGTCTCGTGGTAAAAAAACTAACTGCCAATGTAGTCTAACTGTCTCCAATGTAAACATGGTGCGCCAATCTTTCTACACACTACATCATGACGAGTACAAATAACCTAAGGAAAACTGAGTCACTACGGCGCAAAGTAAGGCACAGGTCCCTATGACTGCCTGGCACAACACCCACGATGGCGACCCACACCTCTCCCTGCCGATCGTAGACCGTGTGTAGCCGATTATCTTGCCTGGTGGGCTCCAGATACATGTAGTGGAGCGAGGCCCATTCTTGGGCTTGCACCTCGAACTGCCACTCTGATTTCACAAGTGGAAACCTAATCCCATATTTTTTCCCCCAGAGCGTAGGGATGTCTGAGAAGCATATAAACACAGCAAATCCTCTGCTCTTGTCTCACATTGGCTGACCGCTCAATGCCAATCTGAAACTGGTCGCATTTCCATTTTGGAAATGTGGCCGATTTTGACCGCTGATCTGCAGATCAAAGGCTAAGTGTTACATGCCGAAAGCCTACACACGGGCCCCTCACGGGACCCGAGGTTGGAATAGGGCCCCCAGGTCGCGTCACCGCATTCTGAAGGCCCTATGGCATTTTTACTTGGGCCTGCATCAGAAAAACGCCAGCTTTAGATTATTTTATAGTCTTTTATTTATTTATTTGCTGCTGTTTTTCTAACGTGTGTACTGTTGTCCGTTTTGTGGCCAGGTACACGTTTTAGGGCCAGGGCCAGATTCAGGCCCAGAGGTTGTACCTCTAAAAACGTTTGGACCTTTTTTTTCATTTTCGGACAGACTTTTTGACCGTTCAGACCTGGACCGACGTTCAGGCCCAATGCATTCGCACAGGCCCTGAATTGGACCAGGTACCGAACAGGCCCAGTCCTGGGCAGGGCCTGGACGTCCGGTAGGGACCCAGGCAGGTCGTTTTAGGCCAAGGACTGAACCAGTTTCGAAGCCTGCGATCTGGACCGTGGATCGGAGTTTCGATCTGCATGGTCCAGAACGAAGGCCGTGGACACAATGGGTCCGGCCCAGCACTACTTAAGCTGGGCCAGCGCCCAGTTCGAGACAGAAGGTACCAGGAGAAATCCAGCGTTACGCTGGTTCAGGACTTCGCTGGCTGCGCTATGTGGAGACTTCCGGCTGCGCTATTTTGAGACAGCAGCTGTGCTGTTCATCGGCAATGAGGAGGAGTCCAGCGCCGAGGAGAGTAGCGGAGTTCAGAGAGAGAGAGAGAGAGAGAGAGAGAGAGAGAGAGAGAGAGAGATGGAAGAGGAGCTTACCTGTTGCGACCTACCAGCGCCATAGCTGGGCTCTCCTGCAGTCCCCAGGTAAGTGCAGAAAGCGCCTAGCTTTCTTCTTCTTCTCCTCCCCTTCTTCTTCTCCTACTCCTCCAAGTTCTTCTTCTTCTTCTTTCTTCTCCTCCTCTCCTCTTCTCCTCCTCTCCTCTTCTCCTCCTACTCCTCTGAAGTTCTTCTTCTTCTTCTTCCTTCTCCTCGTCTCCTCTTCTCCTCCTACTCCTCCGAAGTTCTTCTTCTTCTTCTTCTTCTTCTTCTTCTTTATCAGAGTAGAGATAGAGGTAACTGCAGACATTGTTTGGACACGGCATTCTGCCTTATTGGACGCGACATTCAGATCGGACTTACACTCTACATTGGGATTGAACTGTGTACGACATTCGGAGATCGGACTTGGGTTGGACTTGGTTATCTCCTATGTCTCTCCCCTTTGCTCTCCCGCATGTCTATGGATCTCTCCCCATGTGTGTGAGCGGAAGGGCAATCTTTCTGATGTCCTGCCCTTCCGAAGTCTCCCTCTTTCATGTTTGTCTGTCCTCGTGTCTATTTGGTTACGAAGACTTCCGCTGTGCTGCTTCCCAGCCCATGATGATGATACAAATGTGTTGTTGCTGATTTCTCGTTGGTTTACTCGTTGCATTGTGCACATTGACATCTTGTGAATGTTGCATCTATGCTGCCAGTTGTTGCCATTTTCATCATTGTTAGATCTTAGGCTCTCGGTGCATTTCACTTCCTGATATGCTACACTAAGTCTGCTCCATTTTCAAATTGATAAACTGGGGCCTGTTGAACCCCATGACTTGAAGAGAAAACATGGAAGTGGGTTCCAAAAGGTTTCTTTTTGTTTTTTTTAAGGGAGCAGTAGTGCGAGGTTTGAGCCCTCACGGGGCCCTTACAGACATGCAAGTGTTCTAGGCTGTGGCCCCCAGCAAGCCTTGTGCCCGCCCTAAGTGAAGGCGGGCCTGAATACCCACGGGAGGCCTACTTCTGACATTTTCCATATGTGGGGTACGCCAGTTGGTTACCGAGCAACATGAGCCTCTCCTGGCTCTTTCCAGAAGAAGCAGCTGCGACGTGCAGTTGAGCCCAGGGCTCAAGTGGTTGCACCCTGGGCACACGCAGTGTGAGGCCGATACATCACGCACTGGCCGCGAGCCAATGAGAAAGCAGCATTGTCATCACACAGGCACCACGAGCCAACGAGAATGCGGCAAACACTTCGAGCCTGGAGGGCAGCCTGCATGTGCCCAACTGCAAACGGCCCAGGCCCATAACAGCAAAGGTGGGCCTGGGCGCAGACACTGGGGTCCGACCGGGAGCTCCTGGAAACTCGTCCAGCCAGGCCCATGCAGCCCAACACAGGATCGCACCTTCCATAGAGGAAGGTGGCCTGCCCAGGCAGAGGCATTCTGGCCTGAGCAGGTGATGCGGCCACGCTGCTGATACGCCATGAGAAACTGCGCTATGTGGCCAGGCCAGGGCGCATGCGGGCGCAAGAGGTAAGAGGGCACTGCGGTGGCAATTGGCGCATGGCGACCATAGCCGGGCTGAGCGTGCGGGTGTAGGTGATGGCGATGGTGGTCTTTGGGTCAGAGGCGCATGCAAAGGGAATCAAGGGGTGATGGGGGGAGAAGAGAGAACGCACCTGGTGTATGCTGGCAGTCGGCATTGGTGATGACGTCACATATGTTGGTTTTCAACTCCGATGTGATCCAGTCGCACGAACGTAGATAGGATAGATAGGCTGAGTAGTGTAGGCTGGGCAATGGGCGCCAGACAGTAGGGGCGATATTTGATACAGTGTTGGTGTGACCAGAGAGCGTCGACATTGGCCCCCGAGTTCAATGTATTGCTCTTATTCGGATGGTATCTGGACTACTTCATGGTTTTGCAACCTGGTTTTCTGTCTATCGCCCTCGCTCATATTCCTTGCATTTTGGTATCGAAGTCGGTTTGATATTGCCGTTACCAGCGCCGGCGATTGTGTTACTTGGTGCGCTGACGAAGCCTCTACGCAGTAAGGATACATGGACACTGCCTTGTGAAGTCACTCCCAAGTAGAGGGGAGTCTGGCAGGAAGGCTGTGGCGACAGCGTGGGAGCTGTGGCGACAGCAGGTGTACGTGGGATGATGAGAACATGGTGATATTGCATTTTGGCTGAGGTGGCACACCATCTCATTTTGTGTGGTACCGAGGCTATGACCGGTCATCAAAATGCCCGTTGGCTCAATTGGTGAGAAATCTGTGGTTGGGGGCAGCTATCTTCAGGTACGTTGTTCCCTTACCTTATCTGCCCATCACAATCTACCGTGAGGAAGCGAGTCCAACTTGAGAGTCCCTTACCTTATCTGCCCATCACAATCTAGCGGGATGAGTGCAGGCACTTCTTCCAGTGAGATGGCGGGCTTGCAGTACAGCCAGCCACCTTCACGCAGTAGGGAAGCAATAGAACTCCAATAGGTGAAGTTGATTCGCTTGCGGTTAGAGAAGGAACTTAGAGAAGCTACCGAAAGAGAAAAGAAGAGGAGAAATAGGAAAGCCAGGTTAGAAAACAGAAGGGCAGACAAAGCTGCATTAGAAGGGTTAGATAACTCGACCCTTGACGACACGAGTAAGATCCTCAAGGCGGGTATGTTGAGCATGTATGCGTACATGGACAGCAAACTGGATGATATCCAGGACACCCTTGACCAGATACAGAGTGCCATGCTGGGGAAGGGAAGAACAGTCCCACGGGCGGGCCTAGTATCAAGCCAGCAGCTGCTTTTCCATCGCCACCTCCATTACTGACGAGGACAGGCCCGTTTGTCCCTTAATTTGGCTTCCCACCAAGTGATACATGAGCAGCAGCAACACAGACTGCTGCTTCTTCATCCTCACGTCCGGCTGCTGCAAGTACCGGCATCCGTTCCCACAGATGGGACCACAACAGCCTTGGCACCCGAAAACTCCATTGAAACTGCCTCAGACCTTCTCTGGTGATAAGAAGGATGAGGTGTTGAGAGCGGTTGCAGTGTGGGTAAGGGTGAAGAGGACGTTGGGCGAGGAGGAGGTGATCATTGCCGCTTCATATCTAGGATTCGGCAGCGAGATGGCTAGATGGACTAGTGGCATCCAAGGGTTTTGGCCGGCGTATGATTGATTGGGCACATACCCATACCTTGGAGAGTTTCATGGAGTTGGTCGAGACACAATGGGACAAGGCTCAACAGGCCCAGCAGGCCACTGATGCATTGGCCCGACTTGATACTAGAAAGTACAAGTCGGCACGAGAGCTCACATTGCTGACCATGTTCTTGGGATGTCTTCCCACAGGCATCAAAAACTTAAACCACAAGTACCTACCGGTTGTTAAGGCCCGACCCTCATTTTTGCCTGCGCGCCAAGGGCTGCCGAGCCTGGAGGGGGTGGGAACCAACTTGGGATACATTGTGGACTGGCACTTGTACCGCCCGTCGTTTTCACTCGTGCAGCACCCTAGGCATGGCCACAAGTGCAGTCAGATACATTATGGAGAGAGCAGTCCTTGTGAAAACAAAAGGAAAGAAAGAGCATTTCTGTAGAAAACCGTCAAACGACAGTTTTCAGTTGACTGCTCCCCGTCTCTCACGGGAAGTCACGTCAGAAACGGCGAAGATAGTTCTTCCTGAAATTTAAAAAAAAACTAAGAAAAGGAAAAGTGTGGGCGCTGCTTCGCCACTCTCCAAATATGGCAATGTATCCTCCTCTAGAACATGGAAAGATACATCGCCATGACATTCTGTGTTTTGTGCATGTCGAGACTAGTGGAGCCAAGGCCAAAGAAGAAGGATTCGTCGGGCTGTGCTCTCCACATGTACAAAGGCATGTATCTGTCCATATTCCGGTGGAAGATTCAGTTTTGTCGTTTTGCATATTTTGAGAGTTGTGGAGCATGGCCTGTAACTACCACGTGAGGGCCGTTTTTTTTGCCTGCCAAGTGGCGGGTACTTTCTTTTTTTTCCCCTTGTTTTCATTTTTTTCTTTCTATTCTCTTGGTTGTACTGTGTGCGTGCATGTGGAAACATGCTCGCCATAAACAACGCGGATAGCCTATAGTCCTTTTGCCCCTTTTCCTTGGGCCCGACAACTTCTTCTCCATCACACTACCAAGCCTAAAGTCGCGGCGCGTTAACGGCCGCGACTTTTTTTTTGGCTGGCCGAGGTACTGGTGGTTTAATGGTCAGTGAGGCAAGCATCGATTATCATACTCTTGACTCCTTCAGAAAGAAGGCCTTAAATTTCGAGGCTAAGCTAGGAGCCCAAGAACTTGCAACAGACGATAGGAAAAAGAAACCCCCACAAGAATCGAAAAAAAAACGTAGTTGATTGATGATGGTTGATTCCAATAGGAATCAAACCGAGATCGATGATCTTTCCGATTTTGTGGAAGAGACAGAGATAGGTAGCAAGGACAATGCAGAGGGTGGCAACCTCTCTGCTATAACCAAAGGAAAGGCAACTGGGCTCGACAAGGGTGGTTAGCAAAAGAGTGATGGGCAGGTCCAGAACTCGAACAAGACTTCGACTTGGGTTAGGGCTGGCCTGGATCATGATGTATGGAGGGACTAATATTCCCGAGGAGCTTGCATCAACTGTGGCAAGTACAACCATCAACAGTTCAGATGCAAGAATGCGAAGGTCTTTCAGAAGGTACCCCCCGAAGGTGGTTTTGGAGGGACTTTCGCCCAAGGAGGAGCTTCTACGAGCTCCACCTCGAGAAACACATCTGGCTAGTAGAAGTTGTAGCTGATGTACCCTCACCACTTCAGGAGTTGGTCGAAGCGATTGACTCGTTAATCACCCACAGCCACATCTAGACCAAGCGCCACTCTGTTCGTTGGATGTGTCTGAAGCCTTAGAAGACTTAGAAACCGAGTGGTCGGCAAGGGACCCTCGTGAGTCTTGGTGGTTTTGTCAAGAGGTCCTACAGGGGAGCATTTCGTTGTGGAAGTCAATGTAGGTGGCCGAAAGTGTGGTGCCTTCGTAGCTATGTTGCACGCTGGCCGCGACCGAGTTCGGCCCGGGCCGCGGTCGGCCCGACCGAGTTTTTTCGGCCGTGGTGTCGGCCGATCTGGGGGGCGGTTTTGGGAGCGGGGTGCGGGTTTGGGATGGGGAGGTGGGGGGGCACCCCTTCAAAGTGACAGGCCGTCAAAAAAAAAAAAACCGGGGGGGTCCTGCACTAGACCCTGGAAGGGTGGCCCGCAAAAAATCCAGCGGCCCCCGTGTGCAGGTTCGTCGATGCGGGGTCGCAGGGAGGAGGGTCTGGAACAGTGGAAAAATTAAAAAAAAATATTTGACCCCTGCGGGGGCGGCTCAACGTGGGTTGGATGAGGGCCTGGTTGGGGCGGGCCGTGCGGCCAGTCCGGGTCGAAGCTAGACGGGGCTTCAGATGGCAGACCCCAGGCGGATCAGGGCCTCACGCACTGAAAGGTAGGCGTCGGTTTCATTAATGAGGGCGATGACAGTTCGTCGCTTATCTTAAAACAACACATTCATGGCAATCATAAGTCAGACCCTGTTTGGCATACCAAAGTGAAAACACATTGCAAATCAATCTCAGTGCGGCGAACCACAAGTTTCAAACAATGATAGCAGGCAAGTGTGTCATAGTGTGTGTTCACTCATGAGACTGATGGACATTGATTAGCACATCATTTATGTAAGAACACATTAATTAGCACATCATCCCTATGTCGCATCTGAAATTAACAGCACATTCATAATGGAGGCATCCATGACATGCAAGTGCGTGGCATCGGAGAAGCACATAATTTCCAACATTCACGACAACAGAGCAGAAAACATTCACCAAACAACAGCGACTCGGATGCAAGACCAATGTTGGCGGAGGAACAAGAACAAGAGCAAATATATGGCAAAGCATTTTAATGGAAATGCTTATGTACAAGGCTGAAGCCAAAAACTGGACCCGTAGTCTCAACTCTACAACCGAGTAGCAAAAAAAAACTGGACCCATCGTCTCTGCTACACAACAGAGTTAAAAAAAACTGGACCCATCGTCTCTGCTACACAACAGAGTACGAAAAAAAAAAACAAACTAATGTCCACATACTATTGTCGTCTCCATGCAACAACATTGACATAAATATGCCACAACCCTGCCGACAGAGCGTCCAGGCTGTACAACCAAGGGGAAAGAAAAAGAAAAACTAATGAAAAAAAAAAAACACCACGGACGTCGTCATCTCCCACCAGAGCGCGCGTGGCCTCTCCCACCAGAGCGCGCGCGGCCATGCGATCCTCCCTGGCGCCCTCCTCTCCCTCTGGCACCTGTGCCCCGTGCCCCACTAACGTATGCCGCATGTGTTGCATCGGCTGCCGCGGCCACCTGTGCCCTGTGTCTGCGGGCCGCAGTCTCGATCGGCTCGGACTCAGTGTCTGCGTCCTCGTCCTCCTCCGCCTGTGCATCAATCTCCCTCTCTCTCTCCGTCTGAATCGCGTCCAATGCTGCCTGCCCAACGGCGACCCCTGCAGCGAGTCGAGCCTCAACCTCTGAGAGGCCATGCTGTCGTCTCGTCCTGGGACGCATCAACAACCCCTCCTCGCCCGATGTGAACTGCTCTCCCCGCGGCCTGTCCGTGGATGTCCCTGGGGCCTCGAGGACCAATGTCCTCCTCGTCTCCGCTCGTGACAAACCAAGCATGCGGCCTGCCATCTGCAGGCTCGGACGCCGGGACCCGCCCTCCACAGCCTGCGGCTGAGCAGGCGCACGTCGCGTGAAGACGCCCCTCCCGATGTCGTAATCCGCCCGCAACCGGTCCCCGACCCGACGGACAGCTGACCATCCGTCACCAACACCTCCTCGGACTGGCGGCTGGGAACCGCTACTGTGCGCAACTCCGGGTGCCACCGTCCGGTCCCCGATGTCGACCCTGCCCTCCGGAGTCCGTGCGGGCGGTGGACGCATTGATCCTGGACTATCTCTGTCGCCGTCGCTGCGTCTGCCGGACCCCACCTCACCCGCACCGGACTCCCTCCCTCTAATGCCGCTGAGTGACGAACCAGACCAGTGAGGGCTCTGCACTGTGAACGGCGGCGGTGAGTATACCCTCCCAGGGGCCTGCTGCTTGCCGCGGCCCATGTGTGCGAAAGGGTCATCCGTCAACGCATGCGCCAAAGCGTCGACGTCGAAGAAAGTGTGCGCTGTGCCGTCAGGGCGCATGGGAGGCACTGTGGGGTCCCTCAACACCAAGGCGAGCCTATCTGGATCGTCCTCCGAACGGTGGTTGTCGTCATCGTCGCCCTCCGGTCCATCGTTTCCACCGTCACCCGCGGTATCCCCATCTCCACCGGGTCCACCCTCTCCTCTGTCGCACGCTGCGGCACCCTGTCCCTCATCACCCGCGGTCTCGCTGTCGCCACGGCCCCCACTAGGGGACCCACCGCCCATGACAACATCTTGCCCCTCAGGGACACCCGCGGCGGCATCCTGCCCCTCATCATCGAACTCGCCCTGAACCGCCTCCTCAGGGACACCCAAGTCGTCGACGTTACGACTCCCCTCCCCTCCTGTCTCCAAGTCCCTCTGTCGACGCTGCTCGTCGAGATACGCGAACCGACCCTCCCACCGTGGCAAACTCCTCAGCCGCTCCTCCTCCTCTCGGTCCAAACGGGCATGCCTTTCCTCCTCAGTCTCAACAGGGCCCCGCTCAACGTCCGCGTTTGTGCGCACATCCTGCGGTGAGGCACGTCGACGTCCCTCGACACTCAAATCTGCCAAGCTCCCACCAAGCCCTATGTCCTTGAAGTCCTGTGTGCGGAGCACCGACGGTGAGTGGGGGCGGATACATGCATCGGAAGGAGTCCTCTCTCCCCCACGATCCTCGCCGTCACGTGTCCGGTCTCTGCCTGCTGCCGACGCCAACCTCTCCGAACGCCTAAGTGGCTCCCCCTCGGGCTGTGCAGAGATCGGATGATGGGAGGGAGAGAAGCGATGATTGCGAAGGTGCACCTCCTCATCCTCGGCCTCCCCCTCCGCCTCGCTGTCGCTCCTAACCTCCCAACGCCTGCCTGTTTGCCGAAGACCTCCCCGTGGCTGCTGCTCCTCCGAGTCGTCCACGCGAACCTCCGGATGCAAACGTCCTCCATGACCACCGCCGGCTCTGCTGCTGCCACTTGCCGCCGCGGTCGACGGCACAACACCAGTGATAACTGATGTGAATGAATCTGTGTCGTCACGACCCCCACCATAAGTGAAGTACACTCGCTGAGCCGTCAGGTCGCGAGTCAGCGGCGTGTCATCATCGTCAGTCCAGTCGTCGTCGCTGTAGTCGTCTGCCGCAGCAGCGTCCACATCATCCCCACCCTCCGGCCACGGTCAGAGCTCCGTCGCTCTGCTGCCGAACACGTCCCGAACCGAACGGGCTCTGGACGGTCGGCTGTCACGGAAAGCGACAATCTGCCGGTGGATCTCCTGCTCAGGAACATTGCCATCAGGTCGCGCTCCCCACACCCCGGGCTCCACATCTCCCTCCTCATCCTCCTCCTCTGCTGTCGTCCCCCCCCGACCGCTCCCCATAACCCATGGCAACACGTAGCCACCACCCTGCCGTGCGCACGACGCCAGTTTGAGATTGGTGGCAATCTCAACCAGTTGTGCAAGCTTGGCGAACCCAAGCTTGCAGCGCCTCGCCGTGCTGACGCGCTCGTGCTCCGCCCAGTTCCTTTCCGCTGGAGAGGCAGACGTCCACAAGTGCATGACACGGATGGCGATGGTGCGCAACTCCGGGTGGGCACGTCCATGCTCGAACCACCACGCTGCACACCGCTCGGTCTCGCTGTACCCCCTGCAATCTGCCGCCTCGGCATCGGAAAGCTCAGGATCTCCCCAATCCCCTCGCCTCGAGTGGAACGCCCTCATCTGGTCCCTCAAGGTCCTGTACAATAACCCGACCGGATCGCCGCCGGTCTGCGCCAGGAGAAATCTGTCGCACTCCTCGACCACAAGGCGGTCCTCGGCGGTCGTCTGCAGCGAATGGTAATACGTGAGGGACCGTCGTCGAGGGTTGAGGAGGTGGGCCACGGCATGTGCGGGCTCTAGCATGTGGAGGTTGCGGATGGCAACCTCACCCACGCACGGATCGATCATGTCCTCAGGCACGTCGACCCTCCTCATCAACTGCAGCAGATGCTGACTCCACTCGTAAACAACGGACATCATCATCCCACCTCTATCCATCCTGCGCAACAGCTGGTGGACGGGCGACATGACTAGGATGGCGTAATGGACACGCTGCCAAAACTCCGCGTCCCGGATCTGTTGCTGCACCCACTGCGCCTGAGATACGTGGGCGTGATCCCATGGGATGCGTGCCCAAGCATCCCCGTGCAACATGCTCTCCAACGTGTCTCGTCGGCCTTTGAGACACGTCAGCATCAGGAAAACCGATGCAAACCGTGTCTCAACGGGCTCGACGAGCTGAACGCGAGGGCTCACCTTCCTAAAGAGGGCGTGAGCAGCGTCGTGCGATTTAATAAATCGCACAAGCGCTCGAGCGCGGATGATGGTCTCCTTGACCCACACCACTCGCGTCCCGATATCTGACAACATCAAGTTGCAGACATGGGTGGAGCAGGGGAGCCAAGTGATCCTCTTGAGTTCAGGCTCGGGGTCTGTGGCGAACCTGCGCGCTGTCGCCGTATAGTTACTGGCGGAGTCTGTGGAGAAGCCGATCACGTCCTTTGCAGGAAAGGACAAGATGATGGCCCGCCACCTATGGTACACGACGTCCGCTGTGTCTCGAACCGACCCATCACGTGCGACGGTGGCGTACAGCAGGGCGCCATTGGCGCCCCTTGCCAGGAAGTTCACGGGCGGCTTGCCGCTGCGCGACTTCCTCCCGTCGGAAAGGATAGTGGCACCGCTGTGCCGGAAAGTGGTGCGCACCTCGCTCACCATCGTCGCCACCTTCGCCCTCTGCGAAGGGATACCGGCCCCCGCTGTAACACTGAAGGAGGGAAACCGGAACTGGATAGAGCGAGGCACTCTCTCTGCTGCCTGCCGCACCCTCTGGAACTCCGGACCACGGAAGGCGTTGAATGGCAACTTCTTCACGTAGATCCACTGAAGCCACGCGTCATGGAACTCGGCCAACTTCTCCCTGGCGTACATCTCGACAATCATGGTCTGCCGAGCCCTCTTCTCCCTGCCGTGTCTGGCACCTCGACGCCAGCCTGCCCCAATGTCCTCTTCTCCCTCCTCGCGCGATCCACCTCACCTCGCGGCGCCCTAGTAGCAGGACCCGCTCCAGCGACGCCTCTCGACGTCATCACCACCTCCTCCCCTGGCAGGTTAGGCTCTCCGACTGCCTCGTCTGCCTCGTCCGCAACCGCCCTCTCCCTGGCCCTACCCTCGCGGCCCTCCTCATCGAGGGCGTCCTGAATGTCGTCCCTCTCTGCGTCGTCCATTCGCTGTCTCTGGCCACCCTCGGGCGCTCTCGTGTCCCGTATGCCCTCGTCTGCCATCCACCTCTGCACCCGCTGAGCAGTGGACGACACAAACGTGTAGTCCGTGCCGTTCCAGAGCTCCGCGAGAACTCTCATCCCCCCAGCCTTGCAAAACTTTGACTGAGTGAAATGACGCGCGGCCTTCGACGACCCCCCCTGAAACAAGTGGCTGCATAAGTTGCAATGCAACTTTCGGTCCCCGTGCATCTTCGACTGGTCCCGACGTACTGGCCCGCAGTGACAATGTTCCCTCGCCTCAACTTCGCCATCTCTTTGTCGGACACCGGGTTGAATTGGGCACCCCCAGACCCCCCCTCACCGCTGGTCCCTGCACCCCCCGTCATCGCCCCCCCCACCAGGATCTTCGATGTCGTCTGACCGTGCCACACCGTCGATGTAGCGCCCCCTCGATGTGGCTGCACCCCGACCGTGTCCCCCTACTGCCACTCCGGGCTACAGCCCACTAGCACCCCAGCCGGCCGCACTCAACAGGCCCTTCGAGGCGGGTAGCGCCGCCCGGCCGCCGTCGACCTCGCTCGGCCTCGCTTGGCCTTGCTCGGCCGTGTTCGGCCACGGCCGGGGACTAAAAACGCCGAGCGCTTGGAACGGCCGCGCGCGGCGATGGCGACGGCCGTGCGGCGGCCGCAAGGCAGCGCGGGGCCGCTGTCCTGCGTGCTCGCGTGGCACGCGCCGCTGCAGGGTGTGCACAAAGAAGAAGAAGAAGAAGAAGATCTCTCTCTCTCTTTCTTTCTCTCTCTCTCTCTCTCAAGAGCCTCTCTCTCTCTCTCTCTCTCTCTCTCTCTCTCTCTCAAGAGTCTCTCTCTCTCTCTCAAGAGCCTCTCTCTCTCTCTCTCAAGAGTCTCTCTCTCTCTCTCTCTCT